CTGCCAAATACTAAAACCGGTCTCCCTATACCGCTGTGGCCAATCATAACAGACAAGCCAGGGATGCTCTTCCATAATTTTCAACTCCGCCCCTGATGGTTTGGATTAGTGGAAATTCAAAGGAGACTATTTTATCTTCAGCCCACATTTCCCTCGATTTTGTTAGCTCAGAGGAGGAAGAGGGGAATTCGCTGTCCCTCGAAGCAATTCAAAGTTCTCTCTTGGCGACTTAGAGATTTTTTTCTCTACATCTTGGGCTTGGACGGCGCAACAAACCTCTGGACATTGTAATACGAAACGAAGAGAAGAACTCCCTACGGCTGATGTAGTCCTCGAGAGCAGCCAAAATTTGCAAATGTAAGAACAAGTGTCGGAGGGAAGGTTCATACAGACTGATCAGACTCGAATGATGAAATACAAACAGGTCTTCCAACTACTGAGGAAGGTTGTTATTTGATTTTCCGAATAAACTGGGAATCGTTCACTGTTGAAATACAAGTTTCCTCCCGAAGGAAAGGAATGGGAAACTTTGGGACTAGGCAGAATTTTAACTTTATCACATTCTGAAAGTAAACAAGTGAACTGCCTTTTATGTCTGCATGTAAATCCTAGATAATGGTGTGGACAGACAGGATTTAAACAATCTGTACCTAGGAAAAGTCAAAATTACATTTCAGAAGCAATATTTAATTCAGTGCCGAAGTCCACTGCGAAATAATCGCATGTAAGCTTCTACAAGTAATAATAACAACAACCTATAAAAGGCCCCTTTATGTCTTCTACAAACCATGAATATCTGAAGGGTTGAATTAATTAATATGCATCTTTAATATACTGTCTTGATCCACTATCTACTTGTCATTAATGGACAGTACAGAAGCTATAGTTAGTATTCCTAAGTGCAGTGGCACTACTTCCTATATCATAATAAATGAATAGTGTTGGTAGTCCTGTATAATGTTTGTAGTTAGTAATGATCTGTTAACAACTTCGACCTTGGTAGCGGAAGGGAAAATGCATGCATTATTTGCGGGAAAGGCTAGGAAGGCGCTCATATCAAATTGTAATTTGGCGCAAATGAACTGTTCACAGTGTCCCTAAGTAGTCCTGTCCCTGATAATTGCAATGATGCATAGGCCTACATGTACAGACTGAGCCAGGTACACTCTGACTCAGTGTGGAACCACATAAACCGAATTGCCATTTTCAGGCATCAAATACGTTTTAAGCTTACCACTGGAACTTAAGCACCTGTAAGTTACAAATCAGTGTATTCAAATCTGAATTTAGTCTCTTTAAAATTGTCGTGGCGTGCACGACTTGCGAGTCAGCGGCGTATATCTAGCTTTATGTGAGTGTGTGTGTGGGGGGATTCCAAAGCGAACGCGGCTTCGGGCTCAATCAACATGATGTTAGGGGAGAAACAAAATCAAAAGCCTTAGGCCTACTCGAGATCCCGTCATCCTTGCTTTTATTTTGTGATGTTGTTTTTCTTAGGGTTTTGGTGCTAATATTTGATACATAAATACACCAGTTACTTTCTTTCCTACTCATCTATGAAGTATTACCCAAATAAAATCCGACCGGGCCCCCCCACTCCCCAACCGCTGGATACAGCAATGTTATGCTCAACTTTCCACTACTATACCAATACTAAAACCCTTACTTCACTGCAAAACCTCGGGTGTTAAGTTAACATTCCGGGTGCTTTCAGATGAGTCCCCTGATGATAACATCAAGAGTGTTACTCTACCATCAGTTTACCATCACAGTTTTTCAGTATTACCAAGCCCACAAACATTCCCGAAACCATCGTCAGAACCGTCAGGCCACCAACTCCATCTTGGTTGAGCCCGTCATGCAGCAGTCGAAGGCGAGACAGGACGAATAGAAGTCACCATTACTCCCAATGTAACGGTGACTGTGTTTCACCAATATTTGCTTGATTTAACTCAAAATAGCTCTTGCACACAGTCACAATGGAAATAATGTGCTGAATGCTGAATTCGTGTATTGAATATTGAATAAAATTCTCTGTTATCCATTCGTTGTATTCACCCGGTTGGGGAATTCATAATACCTTCTTGGAAAGGAAATTTAGGAATTGATCATATTAATGACCGTGAGTAGAATCACAGCGGTAGCATTATTTGTAAGCAGCCCGCCACGTGGATTTGCCTGCTCTTCCCTCAGGGTAAATTAAGGTTTAAACCCACTCAAAAACCTACGGCAGCTGAGAATGTACAAACATCATGTTCGAATAGTCCTTGGAGGCATCTCTGCTATCACCTTTGGTTAATACGGATGAAACTTTTTCCACCCGAGGGACTCTGCCGGTGAACGACCTGGAATGACTTTACTTAAACTTCAACTCCATTAATTTAAGATGATAAGTTTATAGCAAAATGTAAATGCGCATTATTGAATTGAATACAATTTTTGTAAATTGTTCATAGTGTGACAGAGGTGTGGGTTTGCGACTTTAGATAGAAAGGATTCCTTTTAAAAAAGACTTTAATTTGCAAATTGATGGCCGGGGTCTTTTTTTTTTTGAGGGGAGGGAACTTGGTCCCATAATTGCCCAAAGCCTTTCACTCCAACTTGCTTCACTGTTCTACCCCCACGTGCTGGACTGGTTAGGTGTGAACTCGGTCAAGTACCTTTTCGGATATTGATCTCCTTCAAACTTGTCAAAAGGCATTAAGAGTTTGGAGGCTTATGGGTTTATTTTGTAATCAATATCTTTGTGGATTTCACCCTGAAAGTTCATGTTCTCCACCTTTGTTCACACACAATTCAGTCAACTTAGTACTCGAAAATAGTCAATTTAAACGTTGGCTAGCTCCAACCCTCACCAAACGCCTTCCGAATCCCCTCTACCGTCTTACAAAAGTATTTTGCTAACACCTCCAACTCCGTATCATTCTGAAAAGTTCCCAAGTTGTGAGTACATGTCAGACACAAAAAGGATCCCAGTGTCTGAACCGTAGCCTTGCGTCTTCCGAACTTTTGACCATTAGCATGTTTTAGTCAAGTGCGCGGCTACACAATCGGATTAACACGTTAATAAAATACATCCGGTGCCTCGAGGGAGTCGGCAACACAAGCACTGACTTTTGAAAAATGTTAATTATTTTACTCTGTCGTAGCTATTGGACATGCGAAGATCATTCGCGGGAGTAAACGACGAAGTGGTCAATACGAGTGCCCTAATCGGGAAGCGACTGTCTCGCTTGATGGATCAGTATCATTGAAAAAGCATTGCGTGTGCTCGGGTGACCACTTCAACATGAAGATCTAGTACGGCCGTGCACGCAAGATTTAGGATTGACAAAATGGGCTGATGCGCCTTCTGGCTGTTAAAGAAGGAACTGAAACAAAGGGAATGGCAGAAAATTTGAAGACGAGAAAATGTGAAAATGCGCCTTGTAAATTCATCCGCGAGTAGTTAACGTTTTGTTCACACTGATTTGCGCCACGACTGCCTCTTGAGATGTCACTTACCGTGGTCGCTTGCTAGAGATATATAGGTAGGGGTCACAGCTTTGTAAGTTTAAACGGCATTTGGCTATACTAGGCCGTACTCCAGTGAAAAAAAATAAAAATCATGCTTCCAACATGAAAGAAAAAGGGCAGCAGATATTTTGAATTGGAAACAACAAACGAGTAGCCAACTTCGTCAGTAGAGGGCAGCATATCAATTTATTTAGTCTCACCGTGGACTGGTCCCCGTCCCTGTGATATAGGGACCGGAAGCTAGCTGCGGATTAACGTGTACGATTCGCCCTCTCACCTTATTTTGGAAACTGAATATTTGCCTTTTTTTCAGATCAATAGCAATGTTTAGCATGAAACACTTTTTAGCGTGGACGCGAAAAATACAAATACCTATCCTCGCTTAGCCTCTGTTGATCACAGTGTGCTAATTTATTTTTCAAAGATTATTAACCATAAATCATTTTGCGGGAATTTATTTTAAATCAGTGCTTACCGTGTTAAATTCTATATAAATAAACAATTTATGGCGAAGTTATTTTTGGTAACAAGGAAAAAATAGCAAATTCTGCTTCCAGCTCCTGCTTGATTTGTGCATTGAGCGGGCGCATCGTTTCCTCATTTACACAGGCCTACACCCAGCCGAATCCTTCCGGATTCATTACCCGCTACCAGTCCCTTGTAGTTACTCCATCGACAAATTGTGCCGTTATATAGTTGTAGAAAGCTCGGTGGAACTCCAAAAGAAAAAAAGCTTAGGAAAAATATTCGCTCCAGATCTGAAGTTGCCGACTGACATGAACTCCTTTGGATGCGTAATCGAATTGCCTAATCTCATCGGATAAACTTGAGTAGCATAAAGTAGTAATCCACCTATTCACGCTAAAATGATCGTTCATGGAAAACTCGACAATATTACATGCATGCTTCCGGTTTGATATTGGGACTATAGTCACAAACGTTCGAGTGACGAAATGATACGGCGGCACGGTGGAACGAGTTTAGATTTTGTACAGTCGACCATAATGACTATATAATGAAAACACAGGAAGAACTTCCAGCACTGAATCCCAAAATCTCAGCAGAGAGACAAACAGTGGTCATGAAGGTACGGACATTTCTAGATTTAAGAGTTGAGAATAAACATATAGCAACTTGCAATTGGAATGAACAAGTGCTCATATCTTCCTCCCCTCCAAGATTGAGATTACAGCGACGATCAATGGGGTTTTAAAATCCATGCAGTGAGTAGGGGCATAAAATTATGCAATTTCAGGAAAAAGTTGTTGCCCAGCAAAGGTGAAACTTGCGCATATTTTGGCGGCCCATAAAAAAATGCCAAATTTGTGGTCAGCTTTTAAGGGCCACCGTTGAATTGGACACACAGACAGTGAGGGTGTTTCAAGGGATCGCGATCAGCCGAAATCATGAAGCGCCCTCAAGAAAGTACGCCCAACAACCGTAGTCTGGTTCCCTTTGTCTTCTTCAATAAGATCATAATACAGATGAGGTTGGGTTTTTTAGTATCTATTCAATTCTGTACACAAATCCGAACAACGAAGCTCGTTCACTGACTGGTGGTTTGGTAAGCGTTTCTTGTAAGCAAACCTTTTTATGCATGACTGCCGGTAAAACGTGTCGGTGAAGGGAATTTCCGGGGAGAAAGTCGACTGAATCATGTGCTGGGGGGCCGCGAACATGTCGAAAAAACTCCCATTTCATTAAACAAAATTTGAAATGCAGTCCACTTCCAGGGACAAGACATGCCAGATTAGAGTTGAGAGCTAGAGAGGGCGGGGTTAAAACTTAAAAAGCAGACGTACTGTGGATGGGGAACTCGTTGACGTGGATCTCAACAGAAGTCCTGTAACCGTATTAACCAAAGCTAAGATGGACACCCTGAGTTTATGATATATGGTCAGATGGTCCACCGGGCATTAATTATCAGTCTCCAAGGCCAAGGAAGTGATCCCCCAGAAGTAGTTTTGTCTTTATCTTAGTTCCAAGTCTGACCCTTTTTATCAAAGTTCAGTGCCTTATTCAGTTCATCAGATATTAGCTGAAAATTGAAAATAAGCATAAGAACTATAACATTTCAGATTGCACCATCAAGTCCAGACAACTCTCACAAGGAGTGTGCAATATGATACCTGCCATCCGATGGAAGCAGGTACTACCTCCACGCCTGGGCGATAGACTGTCCGTCTTAGTTGCCATCACTGAATTGTGGGTAGCGGGCCTCTTTGAGCTGCTGGTCATCCTGCCGCGCAAATATCCTGAAGCGACCACGTCCTATTGGCTGAGCGTCGCACTGGGGCTGTTCCTGTTTGTCAACACATTGGGGAACCTTCTCATGGCCATGGGCACCGAGCTGTCGATCAGTTCCAGCCTCTTGCCCACCGTTTTGAAACCCGGTTGGGATTACTGCTATTTGTGCCAGCAGAATTCGCCACCCAGATCCTACCACTGTGGCCATTGTGGTGTCTGCGTGCTCAAGCGGGACCACCACTGCCTTTTCATCGGCAGTTGCGTGGGCTACGCCAACCAACGGTATTACCTTATCTGCATCATGTACATCAGCCTAGGGGCCCTCTATGCAAACTACCTGAATATGGAATTTGTTGTAGAGAACGTGAGCCAAAACTTACATTGGACGACACTCCTGGCATCGTTCACGCCGATGTTCGGCTGGGTGTTCGGTCTCTTTCGGCCAGTGTCCTACTTCATTGCTTTCCAGAGCGGAACCTGCATGCTGGGATTCCTCGCTTTCACCGCCTTGTTTTGTTACCACGCGTACATTGCCCTTCGTGGCCAGACCACCCACGAGAAGCGGCGGATCAGAGACCGTTCGTACGACTTGGGCTGGCGGCAGAACATCCGTGATGTGCTGGGAACGCGCTGGTATCTCGTGTGGATCTTTCCCCTCATTACATCGCCACTTCCCGGTGATGGAGTTCACTTTTTAAAGCGTGGAATGGTTGGCTTGGAAGAAGTCAAGGATTTATGACTAGGCCAAGGACAAAATGATAGAGTGAAATCCAGTGTTGTACAATGTAATTGAGATATATTAAGACCATCACAAGACCTCCAGTCTGAATTCACAGTCTATTAAAATGAATCACAACAACAGCACTCCTTGTCACCCTGTCACTTGTGATTGGTCACGCAACTGGTCATGTGACTGGTCTCATGATGACCTCTAATCACAACTTTACTACGGGTGAAATTGTAACATCTCAAATACAACTTAGTAATAACCCTGTTTTGGATCTTGATAAAACTGCATCTGAATGTTTGGAATAATATTATCATCGGTGGAAAGCGCAGCCTGATGGCCGCACCCATTTCCTATTGATATACATGTATATCCAGCAGGAGCCCAGACTTTCAATTCATCTTACAAGGCCACATATCCCATTCCATAAAAAAATACATATTCCTCAATCTTGTTCTGAGAACAATTTTCCCCAATATCCACACAAGTATTAACAAAATTGCCATTTCAAAGAGCAAGGGTATTGGCTACTCTCTAATAAAGGAAAATCATGACAGTCAACCTCGCGAATGTTTGCCAATAAAGTATTTGTAATTACAACATGTAAATGTTAACCGTATTGTACATGTACATGTATGTTTAGATCATTCCATTGTTCAGTTAAATGCTCTGCGTTTCACACACTCACTGTAAACATGTATTTTTATTCTCAAGACACCTTTGTATAGTTTGATATTCTTAGGGATTAAGTATTATTTGTACGTGATTATGAAGGATTGGTGTACATGTATGTATGTGTTGAGAAGTTGTACCCAAATTACTACTTAGAACGTACTGTGATATATTTATTCTTAAGCACTGTACATGTGCATATTTTTCCATGGCAGAACTATTTTTCATTGACTGTGCTTTGAATACAGGCGATTCACAATGGTGCGCCACCAAGAGTTTGCTACACGTAGGCCAATCATAACGCGCGAAATTTGTGGGCCCTTTCCAAACGCGCATTAGGCCGACTGATTTCGCGCATTGTGATTGGCCAACGTGTTGCAAACTCTCGATGGCGCACTATTATGAAACGGCCGTATTACATTATGCAGATAAAACTGGAACTACACGTACGTTTAAATATCTGAAAATCATTCTAAATCTATTACAAAGACTGCTGTTGGTCGTTACCCAGATTGAACTGTACAAGGCCCCTAGGGTAATCTTTATTGCTCTGTGATAATGTGGCACAAGAATATTTATTAGTAAAGGCCACTACCTTGTTGAGAAAATTACCGGTAGTGTGATGCTCAACAGTAACTTTGAAATCAACTCATAAGAGTGTACTTTTTCCCTGTGTAGATTTCAGTGTTTGCCCACCAGAGAATAATTTTTGCATAGTTAACTGAAGTAGGGCCACGTTAATATTTTCTACGTGTAGAATGCACTGAATGGTCAACCAGCTTTTACATGTATGTCTGTATGGTTCCTGTGAGCTGAATTTTGTATGCTTGGAATGTGAAGTGCATGTCAATTTGTTGAGCAATGTTCTGTGCATAGAGCAATCTGATGGCATAAGTATAAGGCATGGTGGCCGGAAACAGTACTCAGATAATTTGCTTTAAAATTGCCGCAATGGTGACTTAATTTCAAGGGTCGCACTTCTGAAAATGTCAAATCAGAAATTACACTAACTATTTCCAGAAGTTAATGTATTCATAAATGCAGCTTTTGAAATTTTAAATTGGAAGTTTATTAAATGTACACAGACCAAATGTGTGAGGAACATTGCGTTTACACACTGTACAATATTTACATAAAAGTTTGTTTTTCCCTCGATGTCTTTTGAGAAACCAACTCAAGAATCTGAAGTCACTGCAGGTTCAACCATTTTCTGGTCATAACACCTCTGAGAAATGTTATCTAGCACCTCTACAGACAACTCGGTTTCTTATGTCTTCCATTTCCCCCGAGTCCACAGAGACTGACCCGAGTCTAGTCAGTGCTACGTGTATCCTAGACATGTTTCCTGATGCCTAAGGAGTGAGCCTGGGTGCCAGGCATACATGTAGCCACTCCATCAGATGAAGTTTAGTATCTTACAAATTTACATCCACGGTCTTCAACAACATGCATTCCATTGTAAGTGACTAGCACTGTCTGAAATCTAATACTTGGCTACAATGGGACAGATACATCCATGCAAATGTGTAGGGATGTTCAGCACACTGGAAGGGATCTATATTGCAGTATCAGCAATTGGATTGGCATGTATCGTTACACTGTTGATCCGTTTTTCAGCTAGTGGCCGGAATGACTTCTCATTGACGTGTAGCTTCTCCAAGTCATCAAGGCTTTCCAGGCCGTCAATCACCCTACGAGGGAAACAAAAACAGAAGGTAGAAATGTAGTGTCACAGTGAGACAGATGGGATAGCAGGCCCTGCGACCCTTAAGATATCCAGTGGTGTTTTCAACAGTCATTTCTGATGGGCCCCCTTTAATGGAACAGAGCATATTGGTGAGTTTTTGCATGTTGTGACTCTCACAGACCTGACAGTACTTGACTGATCACAATGCTCTCCACCGTTGGTGGGAGCCACTCAGATGGCCAGTGAAACATTTCCACAGTGATTTGATTTGTGTACATAACAGCACAAGCAAACAAGTCCTAAACTGAAGGTGTGTCCCAAGCTAACAGGGCTCATCATGCCAGCGTTTCTCCAGTTTCCTTTGAACATGTTGAATGAAACAACTGAGAATATTTCAATTCCCCCCGGATAGGATGCCAGTCCATAATAGGTTGCTCCCTGGCTGGATGGAGAGGTAGGGGTAAAGCCGCTCGCCCACGGAGACAGCATATGACCAGCAGCTGGATTTGAACACCTGACCCTCAGGACATGAGCCGCAAACCTTAAAACCACGAGGCCAGATCCCCCAAAATTCTGTTGACAGACAAAACTGTCTGATTATTGTGACACCCCCTCCACGGAGAAAATGCAACATTTCCTGATAAATATATACTGCATGTAAGTCTTAGAATCTTGCCTGCATACATGCAGGATGTAACTTGGGCTAACATGCCCTCAAAAAAATTCCTCGCATGGAAATCGCTCAGCATAAATCAGATTTTTTTTTTCAAACAAATGTGAAAACATATCTAATGAGACAAAGTGTGACTTACTTCCCAAAGATTGTATACTTCATGTCAAGATGAGGTTGCTTAGCGTACGTGATGAAGAACTGAGAACCGTTAGTGTCTGGCCCGCTGTTTGCCATGGACACCACTCCTCGAACATTGTGCTGAAAAAAAAAAATTTCAAAGGAACAAAGAATTGATTAGAAATGATTTATGTCAATGAAGCAGTCCAGCGCTCTCATTGGTCCAAGCTTCATGCTCCAAACATATCATTTGAGCCAGTTTCTTGCTTTCCTGTTGACTTGACATTTTTCAGACCTGGTTTTTTGTTATAAGTACATACACACGTGGCTTAGCCTAAGCACATTTGACTTTCAGGCTGCACCTGAAATTGATGCCTAGGGCTAAGTCAAGGTCTTTGCCATCCTGAAATGCACAGGGGCGTTCTGACAATAGTCGTAGCCCATAAGCTTGTTTTGGACAAGGCCTCAATAACTTTGAGTGGAATCTGTTAGAAAATATATTCAGTGTCCTTCCCCCCCTTTAAAAAAATGCAGTAAGCCCCTCCCACCGTCTCGTATTGACGATTATCTACACAGCTTTCCTTATCAATGTGATGATGCAAAGAAACGCCATCCTACCTTGAGATTGTCGACAAATTCATCTTCAAATTTCCATCCCCATATGCTGGTTCCTCCCTTGCCTGTGCCCAGAGGGTCACCCATCTGGACCATGAAGCCCTTGATATTTCTGAAAGATGAAAAACCAGAACCAAACTGATGACAGTCTGCTAATATATTTCTTTAGCATTATCATTGTCATAGTTTCTTTCTTTGTTTCTTTTTTTTTGATGCCAGAGAGAGATTTCTTGTTTAATGGGGGCACAGGTGCAGTGGTGTTTGGGGGAGGAGCTAGTTGCACCCACCCCTGACATGTTGCCTTCAAAACAGGAATTGAAGCACCAGCATTCTAGAAACAGTACTTCCCCCTTTCTTTTTGGAGTTGAGGATTCTTTCACGGATGAAAAGTTTTATTCATTATTTGAGCGTCTTGATGGTAGCAAAAAATTCTTTTAACACTCGGCGAATCATTCTTTAACTTTTGTATTGATGGCCAGTTTTATTTTTACAGCCACTGGTAGGCAGGAAGCACAGATATGGCTTTGTACTTGAAAGTTGAATATCTAAGATCTTGAAGTCAGATTGGTATGCCTTCACTGTAGCCCAAGCAGCTCCTTCGTATCCACCATAAGTTTTTATAGGATGCTGTAAGATCAAGAATGCCTTTAGAGAGTCTATTAACGTATCACTCTATACGTGTATGCACATGGAACTTGATTTCCTGTAAAGGGTTTTCATTACAGAGAATCTACAAATGAGAATTGGTGAATTTTGGACAATTCCAGGAGATTCTTGGAATGTGCATCCCGGGGGGGGTGCTTCACTCACCTGTGTATTACAGTGTTGTCATAGTAACCGCTGGCACACAGTGCCAGGAAGTTTTCACATGCTTTAGGAACTTGTTCACAGAACAGTTCCAGTTTTATGTCCCCAACGTCCGTGTGGAGAGTCACGGCCTGAACAAAAAATAAACACAAAATATGGAATTTTAAACAAAAATTATGCCACTTTGGGTTTGAGACCTGGAAACACTCAAGGCCATGCTTTTTTGGGGGGGATATCTAGGGATTTTCCCATATAATTTTCACAAGCTATCTGTGAGAGTGATTTGGTGTTTGATGCACTTTGGGGAGGGAAGACAATGGAACATTACAAAAACTTGTCCTCTCTCAGCAATAAGCAACTTTCAATAAAAAAAACATTTATGGGTGTGCACAAGGGATACGGGGGTTGCACGGAAATGAGTTACATGTACTCTTATAACCAATGGGCTGGAACTTACGCATATGAGAGGGCTAGTGCAAGGGCAAATTAAGAACCATATCTTCAGGAGGGAAGGGGGAGACTCATTTTGGGGGGTGCCTAATTTAGAAATCTTCACATGCACTTTATGGCCTTTCTGAGAATTTCAAGTTACATACATGTACATGTATTTGCCCTTTTTACATACTTTTTGAAGGAAAAGAAATTAAATAGACCAAAAAAAAACAATTATTTAAAAAAAAAAGTTTGCTCCATTTTTAGGCCGGTCTGGGTCCATCCCCCCTCGTCCCATGCCCCCCTGGATCTGCCCTTGGGCTAGTGTTGCTCTGGTCATTGTCATGAGAAAAATTGTATCAATGTAATGAACAGCTCACTTTGAGTGTTTTGGTAGGCTTGATCAAATAACTTAAAATACCAGTATGCGCATGTTGAAATTTGTTAAGTTGCTGGAGATGACGAAGGGTACCTATGCATGGGGAAGTGGTAGGTACATGTACAGTCGCCCCGACCACTAATACCTATCACCCACAATGGGCGCTGGAATGGGCTGAGGCTGGACACTGCAACTGGATGACACCTGCTGATGCCCCCCTTTTGTGGATGAAGGTCACTCCAGTTTTGTCCATTCCAGCCCGTTTCAGTTCAGCGCGGATTCTCAGATTCAGGATTCTGTACAGGGTGGACAAACGCAACCCAATTTTTTTCGGGGGGGGGGGTTTCCAGGCATCTCACACACACCCAACACATCATTTTTGCCACCTTGCTTTGCTACAGAAATGCAAGCTGAGGTACCTCAGCAAATGTGGACGCCCACAAGTAGCTTTCAAATGCTGGCTACTGATCCCACTGGTGGGCCTGCAACCAGAGGGTTCCGCCAAGAACAGATAGCTTGCAAGAAAGTGGCTTGCTACCTGTCATGGCAGGGAATGGATACATGTACATGTATATCTGTGTAAGGTTTCTCTTTTTTTTTTCTTTTATCAATGATTTACAGAAGAGGGGTATCAATGGCGAACACGACCAAAAAAATTATCACCTCCGACAATGTACATGCATGTCAAATACATGTACACGTACAACCCAAATTGGCCAGGGTTGGCCACCTCAAATTAACTTGATTAAAACCACTTGTACATGTACATGTATAAGTACTGACCAAGTACACTGATTTTTTTTAAACTGTTTTATTAGAAATGTTAGTTATTACAAGCTGAAACCAAAACCCGTATCAAAATGTTCTCATACATGTTTTAACCATCATTGTTTTAACAATAACTGAACAGATTAGTTACAGTAACAAATTGGTCTTCAGTACTGTAAAATGAATAGTGTAGAATCTTTCTGGGGTGGAACATTGGAAGTTACATGTTACCAACACTGTACTTTAATGTTTACCTCTTGGCTCTACATCAAAATCCTGTGAACCAGGCTCAGAACTTTTAACTATGGTTAAAAGGGGTTTTTGTGTTCAACAACCAGTCCTTCCATTATAGTTTCTGGTTCATAACAGAATCCAGTAAACTGGACTCTAATTTTAGCCCAGTTGAAAACCTTTTACTTTTGCTCTTGGCACCTCTATCTGAGATGGACTTGCCTAGTCTGCAAGAACAACATGAACAAGTAGCTGCTTTATACAACATTTAGATCTCATCTTAGGTTCAGACATATGTGAAGTTCAAACTTTAACCTGTTTATTAATTGCTTGAATGATTGATTTTAATAAAATAAGTTGACTTAAATCGCATCATTTAAATTCTGCTTCGCTTGGCCCATCTTGAACGTGCGTTAAAGACTGGGTCGGAGAAATGGTCACGACTATGCAATTGGGGCATCATCAGCGTCAACTATTCTGTGCCAGTCTTGAACGTTTGAGACTGGCTCAGAGAAATGGGCACGAGTATGTGATTAGGGCATCATCAGCATTCACTATCCTGAGCCGGTCTTAAACGTCAGTTTAACATTGACCAAGCACATATTTATTCCCATTCACAAATACTATTTCAGAGTCAAAAGAAATCAGTATACGATAAATGTCCGAGAATTTTATTCAAGAATTTTGAGTTTGTTTTCTCGAACATCCTCGCCCGTTCGACGGTACATGTACATTTATATTCCTTATATGAGTAGTCTAAAAGTATCTCCTTATATGAACTTGGATATTTAATTAAAATATAACTGTAGATACAGTGTGTTCAATTAAGTTATACATGTAAATAAAGCCACTATAGGTGGCAAAACATTGAAAGTGCAGATTGAGTCATGCATGCCATGACCAAAAACAAACAAATACTGTTACAGAGAACAACAAAATTAAGGAAAAAATACACTGACATATGTAATTATTTGATTATGAAACAACATTATGAACAGTGCACTGTGAGCAGGATAAAAAAAAATGAAGTTTGAATGGCTCAGCTGCGCAGAATATATAAGATACAATTTCAGCGTCCATTAAGTTTTATATGACCTGAGACATCTAAGAGAGATCGATATGTAAGTCATTCCAATACCAACTAATCTACTTTTTAAAAATAAACATATTATGAAATCTGATTCTTGTTATTGAGGTGAAAACATCAATTCTAGCTCAACCAGCTTAACTATGGTCTGCAAGCCTACTCTCTCTAAATCTAGCTTTCCTGCAAATGTCGGCCAAGAACATCATGGAAGAAATGGAGGCAATTAGCCTTGGCCCTGATGTCCACTGAAATGTTTCCATAGGTAACTTGATATTCTGATAGAGTGCCCCATGCAGACGAGAAAGTGCCATCTTTTCAAGAACAAAATTTCTTCCCTGTAAATGGACATGTACAAAGCAATTTGTACGATTTGGGAAACAAAACACACACAGTCACACTACCGCGCTAACCTTACATACCTAGTGTGGATGTGTGAACAAAAGATGTCCACACGATGCAGGAAAGGAAGACGTTCTGTGGACTTACACATGTCCACAGGACGTTTCCCTTTCTCTCTAAAAAAAAAAGTTGAGAGGCATTTTAGGGTAGGGGGGATCCGTCGTGAAAGGAAGAGGAATAGTCAAGGAAACCTTGGACAAAAAGCAGCTGAAAATTGTGTTCCCAGTTCAAGAAAATGAGCATTTTCACTGAGTTTTCTTAACTGCATGAAAAGAAAGAAATGTCCACACTAGGTACAATGTATGTAAGGTAGGTGTGGGTGGGTTCACGAACTAGGAATACATGTATCATTCTTGATACATGTAGTACAATGTATATAGAAATTTGTCCTGAGCAGTTGTTTTGTAACTTGTACAAAAAGGCACCTTATGAACTGATGTCAGGGCTGTTTAATTTTAGCAGTGATATTTTGGCCTTTTCGTAGACACCCAAAAATATGGCTCCCCCAATGCTGATCCACAGAACTCTGGGGACGACCCCGGCAAACAACCCACGAACTCCCCTGGTCCTCATAATGTCTTTCAGCACACCGGGGATGTTCCCTTTTGCCTCCTTGCTGTCTTTGGCTGCTAGTATGATCCTTGTTTTGGCCACATCCAGAGGAGTGGTAACTCCTGCAGAGATGCCGCCAGCAACTGCCCCACAAATGGACGACTGCCAAGCATCGACCGGTCTCCCTTGCCACTGGCCCCATCTCACTTTCAAAATCTCCCACAGGGGGAACTGGATGATCGAGAATGGAATCTCCCGCATGACGGTGCTGAGGTAGCCGCGGTACAGCCCTCTCACCCCTTCTTCACGCAAGACTGATCTGAGGATGCTGGTGCTGGCATGCCGACTAGCCTGAGCGCGTTGCTTCACTACCTCCACAGGTACTCGGATCAGGCAGGCGACGACTTCACCCAATGACGCTGCCATCATGTGTGTGATGGGCTCATAATAGTTGCCAGCCGACCCCAGCGAGGAGCTTATGTGCTTAGTGAGCTCGTATGTACAGAAGAACACCCCGGCCGTGGGTGCCGACCCCAAGACCGCCGGCCCTAGGCCAGCATAGATTCCACGGAATCCCCCAGCTTTGAGAAATCCATCGGAGCTTTGGAGGCGTGTCTTGATTGTGTCCAAGGGGAAGAGGGAGGCGTCAACTGCAGTCCCAGCCAAGCCCCCTGACACTAAGGCCACAAGCAGGGGTGGAGTTTGCTCACTCATTTCTGAGGCAAGTAGAACAACAAAGACACTTGTAAGCAAGCCACACTTAAGACAAGTAAACTTTTATCTGTGCATCAATTATTTTTATTGCATCACCGGTACACTTACATAATTTAACTGTAAATGAATCACATTTTAAAATTAAATGAGATGATACCAAAAATAATCTGATGCAAAGGGTCGTTGAGATTTTTGGATCAATTATGATCTACATGAAGTTCCATACGATCCCCAAACAGATCGTCTCATCTTGTGCTCTCTGGGATCACGGGAGAATCTCAGTTTTACGAACATTTTTGAAAAACAGTAAGTTTCCAATGCCTGAAGTTTTGACCCTGGTATCATTTCATCCCATCCAACCAAAACAGCACTGCACTGTATACAAGTACATGTATGGTAAAGGCCTAGATTCCTCAGGCTTGCATGTATGGTAGGTCTTGGATGTACTCACTAATTACAGCAACTGTGTATTTCAACTCAAATTTCGCCCGCGTGTTTTTGAATGACGTCCAACTGACAAGGATAACAATGCTCATGTAGCAAAATGTCTGCCAAGTCACAACGCCATTCCTGGTAGATTGGGGGAGGGGGTCGATTTTTTTTAAAGCTGACGTCGTTGAAAACATTCAAGAATGGCATCATGAAAAATTTCTCATTTCCCCCCATTGTGAACCTGGATAGCCTGCTGCGCCCCAGCAGACACTAAAACATGGATCCAGTGTAAAATATAGGACTTGGGTATAACTTTCCTTCTTGCACTTTTTGAAAAACATCTTCCACAACCCTGAACTAGAAAAATGGGAATTCGATGGCACGTTATCAGGATTACAGGAAAATCGTGGAAGTAACTGCCGACTACCCAGCCACTCAAAATGTAACCCTGTTGAAATCATGGAATACGAACGGCTGATCAAAGCAAACAATGAGCAAACATGTCCAGCGCATGTACTGCAAATGAAATTATGCAGGGCCTCTAAGTCCGTTTATATGTTGAGTGCAATCAGTCATTCAATATGCAGAGTTAGCAAATTTTATGTACAAGATTTGTCAATAATTCTGCCGTCTGCTGGCATGGGTCACGGCCAATAAGCAATTTCCGAGTTCGATTTGAATAAAATCAGGTACACTGAGTTATCTGATTGCACATAAACATAACAATTTGAGTTCCCCAGACTAAAGACACTGTTGCTATACCTCGTGATTCCGGGCAAGCTTTGGCATAGCTATCGCCATCTCTGGAATGGACTGGTTCCTTTGTGCCGTTCTTAAAGCGTACCGCTATTAGTGCAAGGCGTCTCTTAGGTAACTAAGCAAAAGCTTGCCCCAGATCATGAGGTTCAGCAACATTGTCTTTAGTCTGGGGAATTCAAATTGTTATGTTCACATGAATTTATAGAACTCAGTGTACCAGATTTTATTCAAAGTTAACTCGCAAACGGCTTATTGCCTTTTCTTCTAATTCACAGATGTCATGGACATGACGCATGTGAAAAATTGTTTCCAAAAAAGGGCAAAAAATGAAGATTTTATGCAGGATCGGGCAGAGCATGGCATATTCTCCTTCCTACTACAGTTTAATACACAAAAAAAACCAGTTAAATTAAGACAGGTCTTTTTCAAACATTTTCGTCATAAGTCCACCCTCCACAACCTCCAGTTACAACTCCACTAGGAGTAGGAGTAGTTTTAGAGGAACAGCAACCAGTAACGAAGAGTGCGAGCTGTCCAGAAACTGGGCCAGTTTTTCAGGGCAAAATACATGCACATGTGTAGTCCGAGTAACTTGGACTCTACAAATCGCCTTTTTAAACATTTGAACCATATCCAACATTGTCCAAATGTTAAAAAAAGCATCGGATTTGTAGAGCTCAATTTATTAGTTACTTGGACTAGCTATAGCATACCCCCAGAACTAGGGAGTCCAGCGAAACGGCACCTCTAAATTTTATATCTGGAAGCGGGTAAAAGTGTTTGTTTTCAATCAATGATTTCTGCCCTTTTTGTGCATCAAATTCTACATTTTAAAAGTGTTTGTGTTGTAAAAGAACCGAAATTTGTATGTCTGTTTGCGTCAAGCTTTGGGTATAATGTATGATGAAAATAATGTAAGATCAGGGCCACTTACACTTCGTCAACAACTGCGTGCGGCCATCTTTGTTTGTTGTCGTGTGACATAGTCTCGTCTAAGTCTAATATCTCGCGAGACTCAACCGGGTCTGGAGCAATGATATCATCATCTTGTAGAGCTTAAAATACTCTTTCATTTGATGCATGATTCAAGGCATTTGACTAAAGCACCATCAAGCCTTGTTTTGGTTTGTGAAGACTACAATTTCTCTGTTGAAAATCCCCCAAAAAACATGTATAAGGAGTTGATGAAACATATATGAAACGGTGTTTATTTGGAAGTTTAGAATTTCAGGAAGAAAAAGAAGGGTTTTTTTGTCAAGATCGATGTCGAACTGGTGGCAACAGCCCTTTTGTATTCGGGTGCTGTTGTATGGTGTATGCTTGTGCATCAGATCGATGGATGGTGCACGGGAGAAAGATGCAAATAACAAGCGCATGTTGTTTCAATCAAATGTTATCAAAAGACCCTGTCAAACACGAACAGACTTAAAATGACACCTGACAGACTTGGCCCCCTATTTTTGTAGCTATTTATCGATGACAAAATATCACATCAAATTTATGCTTCAGTGATCTTTCACACATCACTAAAAGTTACGGTACATGTACCTTGTGTTTATTATTGATAAAGTTCTCCATAATAAAAGATATTGTTTACTTTACACTTCCTCTGTGACTTTACTACAGATCTTTGCCCAACGCTGGCATGTCTGGAAGTGGAACCGATGAGGAAGAAGACTCCATGTGGTTCAAATACGTTGATGAAACGAAACTTGTGTCCACCCCCGAAAAGAGACGGACTATTTACACCCAATTTTAAAACAAAAAAATTCCTACCTTCACTATACTTACAGCTATTGAGCTAAATTTTATACCACTCAGTTTCTTTTGAAATTCTCTTTCCATTGGTACTAAATTTGTGGGGCTCAAACAAAAAACCTGAAAAGTGTCTGCAGGTCGGACTCCCTACGAGAACTGTGGGGTCCGATGTCCGCTCCGCACACATGTAGGCCCTAATAGTAATGTGGCTGACCGCACAGTGGCAAAGTCCCTTATTTTGCCACTTAAGCCTACTGTGATAATCAATCGGACTCTAAATAGGTGGGGAAATTATAGCCCCACTAGTGTGGCACGGATCACTCCCGATTTGAGTGAGAGTCCGTGCCACACTAGTGGGGCTAGGGAAATTAGGGACCTGGCGACCCACAGTTCTGGGGTAACGCCGTGTTTTATTCCTCCATAAGTACATGTAGATAATAGTAGTAGGCCTAGACTAGCCTGTAACTTACCATCGCTTGTTCAGCGTTCAGTGTTGTGAATGGGAATAAAGTTTTCAGGTGTGGACTCTGCCAGTGGGGCCTCTGACGTAGTCGAACATGTAGTCGAAGTATCAGCAACGAATCTGTTTAAAATTTGTGGCATTTGAGGTAGGCCTATGTGTACAGTGTACATATGTGGGTCGTCACGCGTATCACACCATGATCACACGTGCGTGAAGTTCACCAACCTCATGACGCGAAGCTGAGCAAAATATGAAAAGTGTAAACCACGTCTAGTCTGCATCTGCTTCCCTGGCCGTGGCTGCGGCTAGAAATCACATACGAGTCCATGGTGAGCCAGTTTCCATAATGTCGTGTGCAGTTTCAAGCCACAGCCATGTGATTCGGACACGGCTGTTTGCGTTCTTTTCCAATTGTCGGCTTCGTCTCCAAAGCGGCTTCAGGCTGCTCTAAAGTCCCCCGAATTGAGACCTGCAACTTTAGCACAGCTCCAAGTCCTATTACACAAATACCAAATCCAAACGTTTTGGACTTTTTGCAGTGTTGTGACATAATTTCAAAACGTTCTAAAGTGGGTTCAGGGCGAAGCCACCGAAAACTTGTAAATCGCCATCGTTTGCTTAAGGTTGAGGGCGCTGTCTTCATTAATCGATCCGCCATATTTCGTCTTCGTCGTCGCGTCGCCCCCGCTCTGGCTAGGCTTGATGCATGCGCGCCCACACCCGTACCGTTACGTTTGGACAAAACGGTATTCCCTCGTCTCGTAAATCTACAAATCAAACCGTGCTGAAAGCTTGGACGCCTCAAATACAACGTAGGTATGCACGTTAGGATGTTATAGACGAGACAGAGAGATGTTAGTGTGCCTAGAAATCATGATTCGGCACGCCTGCTAACATATTTCTGAACAGATACCTGTTCGCGTTCGGTGTGTCTCCTATAGGAACTCCGCACGCTGGTGCGTAACAATGTGTGCGCATATCCACGTGCAAGCGTGGCATGACGTTACACATTTTACTTGTGCTTGTGTACCTCCGCCTAAGCAAAAGGAGTCCACAATACAAGTAATTTGACGGTGTGTGGACTTACACATGTCCACAAATTATTTTCCCCTCTCTGAAAAACTGCTTCAGAGGCTTTTTGGGGGTGAAGGTTATCTTACAGGGCCGTGGTTAGCCTCCCTCCATGGGCCTACTGTACGTTATCATCGCTGATTATTTGAATATTTGGCAAAATGAAGAGGATGTGTAGTCAAGGAAATTATCATCAAAAATTGAGCTCGAAGGTGTCATACTTGTTGAAGAAAAGAAGTATTTTCCTCAGAGTTTTTTCATCCACGAACAGATGGATCACAGAGTGTCCACGTAGGCCTACTCCCAGTTTTGGGGGTACACTACGTACATGTACTTGAAATAAGTACTGTGAGTGGTGTGCAAGGGCAGTGCCAGACAAGCTGTGGTTGGAGTTCCATCTTCATTACTTTATGTGATGCAGTCAGGGAGTCCACCAGAAGGGTGAATTTATTAATGCAACTGTGCATGTCTTGCATGCATATGAATGCAACGATATACACTGTACATGTAGGGCATGCTAATGCCACCATGTGTATTAACATGTATAGTGTATTGCATTATTTGATGCATCCCTGGGCTAACCACAGCTTATAAATAATGGCAGTGCGAGACACACATTTAGATTTACATGTACATACATGATGTATGTTTTTAAGTTTATCAACATACATGACATGTACAACTTGGCATTTTTACTGTTCTCTCCACGACTAAGGGTTTATAATGTAAATGATATTTTATCATGATTCATCCCAGCAGTCTGCAGCTACCACTGTACCGATGTGTACATCAATTAACCCTCCTTTGGTTTTACAGCACAAATGTGCACAAGTGCCCACAGTCACTCTCTTNGGGTCTTTTGTGCTGTCCTCTTCACTGCATTTGGTTTACTGGACAATTATGCGCTTGAAACAGTGAAGCACAGTTGTTGGGCAGCACAAAAGTGCAATCTGATATTCCTCTGAGGGACGGTTGGTGCAGTGCACAACATTACACATCTGTGCTTCTTTGAGGTGTTCACCAAGTGACCCAAAGAGTGACTTCAGCATAGGAGGGTTAATGATACAATACATGTGCATGTATGCTCTCCAGTGACAAAATCCTGGATCTGGGGAAATGAGTAACGAGGTTAGATCAATTAAAGAAAATTATTCACAAACTTCAGGCTTCATTAGGCTAAAGAAAGGTGCCAGGACAGGACCTGAAAGCTACTGTGGGTTGTATTTCATTTGGTGAGTGGGTTGGTCAAAAATGTTCCCATAGATGTCACTTTAAGACCTTGTGCACAAGGCGGAAGTGTTACAAGCCTACACCTACCAGCCTGCATGGTCACCTGCAGCCCTGGCCAAGTTGGTCTTGGCATCTTGGTCAGTGGGTCTTTGTGAGAGGCAGGCAACACCATGTCACAGCACACATTTAACAAAATGAGTGGTAGTCTGTGTGTGAACACAGGTCACGTTACCTTCCAGTCTCTACTAAGTGTGGGGGCTGACTATGTGCAGTGCTGTTGTTTGTCATGTCTGCTAGATTTACTGAATAATCTGCGGTAAACAAATGGCAAATGGCAAAACACATTCTTGTACTTGGTTGTAGTTGTAGGGACCACATACATGTATGTGCTAAAACATAGATGTGGGAACCGAAATTCTAATGTGGACAAAGTGTTGTCTTCACAACTTTTCTGTCAAAAGAAAAAGTCCCCTCAATGCAGCCAATGCCTACATGTGCTACAGGTGTTGTGTGTAACACCACACAAAGATGCCTGTACGCTGAATGCAGCAGGAGCAGTGGAGACACATTCATCTCGATGTGGAGAGAGCACAAAGACAGGCCAGTGCCAGGGAGTGGGATGAAGCCCTGTTACATGTACATGTAGTTTACTTGTCGTCATTGCATAGAAAGGAAGCACGATAAATCCAATGTGAACATCATGTGGTCGTGTGACGCATCATTTAGCCGCATGTTGCTTTGTACATGCACTGTCCGGAGTCGTATGATGAATTTCTGTATTTATACAGTTTCATCATGTGTTATTCATTACCTTGTGAGGACAATGCAGCGAAGGCCAGCCTTGAAGAGTACGGACAGTAACATACCTAAGTAGCTCTCAAGGCCGATACGCACAGTTGCTACATTATCAGGCTACTAGTGGTTGATCTTCAAATGACCTGGGGTCAGCCGTATGCCCAACATGGGAGCTGATACTGCAGTGTGTTTTTTATGACGCACATGTAGCTACAGTCGTGCATTGATTGACGTCACGCCATCAGAATAGTGCAGCAGAATGCAATTGTCCATCCTCTTTTTCCTCCTTGAGGAAGAGAAGATGGATGTACAAGTACACATATATGAAAATGTCCTGACCAGTATTGCACAAGTCTGTTGGAGGTGTCAAAATTGACATGGGCTGTTAAGCTTCCATTTAGAGGCCTACTCCAGTCCGTGTTTCAACTCCTGAAATACTTGACAGCCTGTTTGGATGATGGACTTGTTCCCATCCCCCTCCAGGATTTGTGATAGCTCCAGCACTGTTTGGTCATTTTTATGCAGATCACAGTGCCTGGGATGCCAATGATTAAAAGGATGAGGCTTAAATGATTGATATTAAAAGGGTGAAGAAAGGAAGTGGCTGTTCCAGTCACTTGTGGTGATAATAAAACACAACATACCTTAAGATCTTTGTGCATTACACACCGGGCAGTGTGTGCACATCCCATGCATGCTATGTGATACTTGGATTGCTGGGCATCCAGGTACGTCCCCATTACGCACTGTCTTTCTGCACTTTGTGATTGCTGTTTTCAGTTCTGCTTCTTCCATCTTCTCAGTTAAATTGTCAGCAGATGCTCATCTTCATGGGGGGGGGGCTTGAATGGGTTTCTTTGATCACATTTTGATGTTTTCAAAAAGAAATAGATCATGTGAAAGTCTTTCATTTTTTACATTACAACACAAATACTAATGGATTTTGTGTATTTCAAAAGTTTCAAAAAGTTTCAAAAGAGTTGATGAAAGGATTCTTTGAGTTTGCAAAAGTTGGAGAAATTTGGAAAGGGGTTGAAGATGCCAAAATGTAGCAAAGATGGTTTGTTTTTTGGAAGAAATAGGAGAATTGGGAAAAGGTAGTTATCTCTTACTACTGTCACAGGCTGGTCATTTGTACAGTAGTTGCATTGCACAAGAACCTGAAGTGTTCAAGATGCTGGGGAAAGTTTTGGAATTTGGAACGCTGATGTACATGTGAACATTAATTAAGAATAATTTCCAAGAATTATAAGCTTGGAGTAAAGTTAAAGGCTGTGCCTTTCCCGAGACCACACTTTCATTGAAAGTACATGTACATTCACTTGTGAAATGGGAACACATTTTAGAGCAATTAATGACTCACCTCCAATTGCCTTAGGCCAAAAAAATAGTCTCCGGTTTCTGGTCAGCATGCACGACACCATAGACCTATGTGGTGGCGAAATAAAGTTTTTTATTTGGTATAAAAACGATGTCCAAAAACTGCCAAACTTACTTAGTCGATTGGAATCCTGCTACTGTGTAATTTTAACGTGTTTTTGATGGGTACAGTTGAGAAATATGTACAATAAAGGGGTCCTTCTAGTTCACCATACATTCAGTCAGGCGCTCTTTTTCAGGTGGTGTCATTTAGGCACACTTCGCAAAAAAAGTTATTTAAAAGGACCGCTTTTGCATTTGATGTTCTGAAACATTTTTAATTTTTTTTATTCTAATGAGAACACCATCTACACAAAAAAATGAAAGAACTAGACCCCACCCATTGCTTGGAAAAAATCACAAGTTATGAAAAAAGTTGTCCTGAACTTTTTTGAGTAGTGTATTATAGATTTACATCTAGGAACCAGATGAAAGAGGTGGTCTTATGTCCTGTGAACAAGTACAACTGCAAATGCTTTTTAACCGTAAAAACTGTGGTGGCCAGTCTTTTAGGTAGCGGCCGGCGTAATTCTGGCATTACACGTGCATACAGTTGCGATGGACACAGACCCGTAAACAGGGCCCAACGAATACTCCTCTGTCATATACCGGACCTTGTCCCCGTAAGAAAAATGTCTCAAGGATATCCGGGCGCATCCTCTTGATTTTATGAGCTGAAATTGCACCGGTATGTTCACTAATTATGAGGTAAACTATCCACTAGGATGCTAATTGCCCACTCCGGTTTTCCAGCGTGGGAAAACGGCAAAAAAAGGCAGCATTTTTTTTGTCCAAACAAGTAAAAGGCAAGTTTTTATACAATAAACAACCTAGCGGATAGTTTACCCCGTAAGTAGTAAGCATACCAGTGCAATTTCAGCTCATAAAATCAAGCGGATGCCCCCGGATATCCCAGAAAACTTGTCGAAAGAAATCCCAATGGATTGGAACAGGGCCCAGTATATGACGGAGGACTATTCGTCAGGCCCTTTTTACGGGTCTACGATGGACATTTGCATGTTATAAGTACATCATTTTCAGAAAAAAAAGAGTAAGGGTAAAGAACAAAAGTCTGCCTTACTTCTGGAGCTGGCTCAGGACCAGAAACCGGAGACTTTTTTTGGCCTTAAGCTGGTATTTCATGATTCATATGTAACCAGATAATGAGCCCCTGTTTGAGAGGGTGGCACCTGGCATTTCTTTTAATTGAGCTAGATGATGGGATATATACGGTGTCTTCAAAAAAAGGAAACCAAGATTAATCTATTTCTTGAATGTGACTGATTGTTTGTGTAAATGGTAGGTAATATTCTTCAGTATCATGTCCTGTTATGACATCAAGAAATTTACATTTCTGTCACACATGACTGAGCACTAAGTGATTTAAATGGACCGTGCCAGAAATGACTTTTCACCAGATGCATAGCTTTACACAGTGTGGAACATCAAGTGCACTACCAAAATCATGAATTGAAAGACAACCATAGTTAAGGACTTATTTTTGCCGCGGCCTAGCCTTAGTATCCACACCCCTACTTCTTTCAGGCAAACTTTTGCACATGTTCTCTACACCCTTTTAATGGGTGTCATGCAATTTTGAGATTCCATCAAACATGACGTGATTCTGACCAAAAAGCCATTCCGGACAGGATGAATTCAACACCAAAACAGCTATGTGGCGTGGTGCAAAGCCATTTCAGACTTGGTCCATTAAACCACTTCGTGCTCGGTGATCTTTGATGGAAATTTGGATTTCTTGGTGTCATACGAAAGAGGACAACATAATAAAACAGACAATGGCTACCATTTACAAAAATATTCATTCACATTCGAGAAACAAACAAATGTATCTCAGTGTCCTTTTTGAAGACACCCTGTATAACCAACTCTCCCTAGCGCAAGTGCCCTCTAACCCTTATTGGAAAGGTGGCTTTTTCCACTGTAACTGTACTTTACCCCTTAGGGCACCTTGTTTAAATTCTGTGGTTCTCATTTCCAACTGACCCCTTTTTCTACCAAGAGGACCTTGCTTATAAAAACAAGTAGGATGTAATGACCTGTTAAAAAAACAGCACTGAAAATGTACATATGTGTGGTAAGATTTCACCCAACACATTGGTGGCATATTAAAGCGGGGGGGGTCAGTGCTCTTTCCCCCCCCCCACTTTTCAGCTGGGGGACTCCCCCTCCCTTTCTGCAGGTCCTGTAATGGGATGGGGCTTGATGGATTTGCCTCTAAATGGCTGATGCCTCAGGGTCTCTCAACTGCCTTCCCCCCCCCCACTTTGAAAATCATTCTGCCACCATTGCCCAAACATTCCACGCAGTGACAGTAGATATCCACGGTGCCGCATCAATACCAGACTGACCGGTACTATATGCATCTATACAAGCATGTTGTGTCACAGGAAAACAAAAACATACATGCTTACACAAACACTGTACAGTGTCTTGACACTGGTCCTAATGATATATCGTCTTGTGTACCAATAAAAAGCTTTCCCTTTACTC